TCTTCCGCTCTCAATGGAGGGACAACAGATTGATCTTTTTTTCACATTAAAACAGTAATCGGACCGCCTGCTGCCGATTCGAGCGCATCGCAAATCGCGAATTGCGCGCATCACCGCGTGCAAAAAGTCATCGACCGATCACGCTGCCGGTCATCGCGACATGCAAACCGCTACGATCGATTGACTATAACGTGACTATAACGTCGTCTATGAGGCCGTACAGTGACCCCGCGAAAGACTTCGGTGATCGAGGATGAAACGACGGATTATATTCAGGTAAGAACCGTGATAGGTCGAAGAGACTGAACTACGCGAAATTAATCGCGTAGTCATTCCGTCTTTCGTCGCGATCGAAACGCGATCGCGAATATCGCGCCGAAGCGTGATTCAAAATTAATCTCGTATTCGCAACGAGGAGCGATAAGAGCGAGTGATAACGAGAATTTTTTGTACTTTACACTTTTTGCATGTTAAATAGAGATACTTGACATTGGAACGATTATATTGCGAAGTTAATATTACGGAATGTTGAATTGCAATAATTAGTCAAATCCACGAAAGGAAAGAATAGTTTAACTGAAGTATCTAAAAATTTAGTTAGATACAAATCTGAAAATAATTTTATTGAATCATCTAAATAGTAAGAATCTCAAGTACAAAGAGCAGTATTGCAAAAAGTTTTGACATTTTAGTAATCAGTTTGAATGTCCTATATATAATTTTTTCGATGGTTCAACAAAATTATTTTAAGATCTGTATCTAACTCAACCTTTAGATATTTTAGCAGAATTATTTTTTCTGTATACTCACGGAATAAGCAGATTTGTTCTTTTTATACAGTTAAATCTTATTACGTTTAATATATTTAAAATAGAGCTGAAGATTTCTGTCCATCTTAATTATACTTTTTAAATCTGAAATTTGTTATCTGAAATTAAGTTAATCTTGATTGATGGAAAGATCGGCAAGAAATAAATATAACGAACAGGCACTGAGGAAAATTTCTGATTAAAAATGAATCAGAAGGTTCTGATCATATTAGAATAGTTATCTCAATGGGAATTATAAGATTCAACCAGAAAAATCTGATTTATCCATTTTCAAGCAGAATTCCAATTAATATATACTGAAAAAAATTTCTGATTGTAAATGAATCAGAATTTTCTGGTTAAATTTATTAGTATTCTAGTTGAGATAACCGGAATTCTGGTTGATACGATATATATTTCTGGTAAAATTTACTAGAATTCTTATTTTTACCAGAATAATTATATCAATCTCAGAATTCTAGTTATCTCAATTAGAATTTTAATAGATTCAACCAGAAAATTTTGATTTGTCCATTTTCCACCAGAATTACTATTAAATCCAACCAGACCATTTTTCTCTGTGTAATCGGACTTTTTTGTTCCAATGTGCGTTTTGACAATGCGAAGAAAGAAACACGCGACAGCAAAATAGCAAAAGAAATATGCGACGCTCTCTTGTGATCGTACTTTTCAGCACTTTGTACATTTAGGGAAAAAAAGCTGTGTGTCTTCAAGCCTTATAGAAGAACAGATAGCGGCGAAATGTGGCAAAGTGTACGAAAGCGTGACTAAAATGGACAGAGCCATAAACGCGGAAAGAGCAAACGGAAGGAACATAAATGATAAGTACGTTCATGCGGCACATACTTCCCGCATTCCTCTGCCATCTCATTCTTCTTCCTTCCGTATGTCTGAGCCGCGCACTTGTTTCGTGATGCAATATTTACGGGATTGTCTCTCTAATACTTCCTGCACATGTATTTTTCTAAGACCGTCTGTACTTCACAAGCTTCGTGCATAGTGCACCGCGTTTCCACGCCTTTTCCTCGAAAAGCTTCCGCAGATCGACATCGATAAGAAACGAATGGACGTCCGTGAAAAATTTCAATCGAGTGGGAAAGACGATGAAAAATGATTCGCTCATTCGATTCCTCTCTTTCCACAATGTGACGTGACTTGATTAGAGGATTCGATTAGAGTTGCTAACTGATTTGTTTACGACCCAATGTAAGTCGTCATGCGCCAATTCTATGTAATATTCATGAATTTTATCTTAAAGTGAGATAAAATGGGATACTATACGTGAGATGTTTTTAAGTTCTTTAATTATCTGTATTTTTCAGATACGAGTTCTCTCAAGTTTCGGAAAAATTCAAGAAATTAACGATTTACATTAAATCGAACCAGTTAAACTTAATATTAGAGTCCGACCGAAACTGAAAACAAACACTCATTACGTGTCATTTTCGACTGAAACCGTAGTTCTTCTTCATAAATATTAATTTTAATACGTGTAATTATTGTTTCAATAATTAAATTATGATATTTAAAAGAAGTACTTTAAAAAGAAGTACTTATATTCTTTGGCTAAAATTGACACACAACCGAAATTTCGGTTTTCGATTTCGGTCAAAATTTAATTATTGTTTCAATAAATTATGATATTTATGAAGAAAAAGTACATGATATATAGACATGTCTATACATATGGCCTTTATAGGATTTCTATTTTTTAATTTTGGTTTCGATTGAAATTGACATGTAGCCAAACGTTTCGGTTCAGTTTCGATAAAAGTTAGAATTTAATTCATATAATAAAAACTGATTCAGCAAATTCTAATCTAACATTTACTTTGACATTGATTTAATTTCGAACGCTCCGAATTGGAGTTACCGAAAGTTTTTCGAAAGAGAGTAATCCATCGCACGGTTTCTTTTGTTCGGATCGCAGTTAAAGATTTCGATCAGACTTCGAAATTAACTCTAATTAACTTACTCGAGTACTTACACCTGAAGTCTTTGATTAACAGAAATACAATTATGTACTTTTTGTTTGACAAAAAAAAATTACATTAAAGACGAATTGTATAGCTAGAAATTTTGCTAGAAGCAATTCTGCACGGAAAAAACGTTTTTGCTGAAGTAACTAAAAATTTAGTTAGAAATCTAGGTACAAATCTGAAAATAATTTGTTGGACTGTAATAATAATTATGCGGATGCTCAAGCTGTTCGATAAAATAACAAAATACTTTTGAAATATTTCTCATCATGCTTAAGTTTCCTATATAATTATTTTTATAGTTCAACAAAATTGTTTTCAAACCTACACTAAACAAAATCTTGGATTAATTGGAAATCTGATTGAAAATGAATAAATCAGAATTATTTTAAATCTACAAGAATTCTATATCCGATAACTGGAATTCTGATTGATATAATCAGAATCTTCTGATTTATCTATTATCAATCAGAAATTTTCTTATGAAAAAAAAATCTGGTTGGATTAATTGGAATTCTGATTGAAAAGAGACAAACCAGAATTTTCTTAAATCTACAAGGATTCTAGGTTGAGACAATCAGAATTCTGATTGATATGATCAGAATCTTCTGGTTTATTTCTTTTTGACCGAAATTTTCTCATGAAAAAAAATATCTGGTTCGATTAATTGGAGTTCTGATTAAAAATAGACGAATCAGAATTTTCTGACAAAATCTACTAGAATTATACAGATACGATCAGAATCTTCTGTTTCGTCCATTTTCAATCAGAAATTGTTAGATACTTGAATGAAATCATTCTTTCCACATATCAATCACTAATTGTCTTTCAAGTCGGTTCGGTCGAAGTCGCCCCGAAATCTCGCAGCGTCCCTTCCTCCCGAAGGACAAGATCTTCCCCCGAAACACGAGAACGAACCCAGCCTTCCTAGATAAAATTCTCAAGCATTCTCAGAAAGAGGAAGCTAAGGTCGGCGCACGCTATCGCTCGCTAAAAAGTCATCGACCCATCGTAATCGCCGGTGGTAAACTGCTCCGCTCTGACGCTCGTTCACCTTCGATCATATCGCCGCTCCACGCTCGTCGTCGTCGCCCGTTGCCGCGGCGCGCGACGTTCCTCCGACTTTACTCCGACTGCCTTCGAGACGTCGCGTTGCGTTGCATGCGCGTGGAAAATGGGTCCGTTCGATAACTCGGCGGCGCGGTATAGAAGGTGGTACACATCCGCGTCCGTATATCCGCGCGCACGAGATCGAGCTCTTCTCGTGAGTCGCGAGGCGGAAAAAGGCGGTTTCGATATTCGCCTCAGTCTGCGTCTCTCTCTCTCTCTCTCTCTCTCTCTCTCTCTCTCGCTCTCCTCTTTCTCGCTCTTAAGCCTTCGGGGTCCGCATGCGACTTTACGAACACCCGGCTTTTACGAGCACCTCGGACCACGCTACGCAACATCTGGTGGTATTTCTTTCGTTACCGAGGCCTGTTCGACGAAATCCAACTCCACGTACTCCATCGTCCCGACAGCGTCTCGCTCTTTCTCTCACTCGCTTTCTTTCTCTCTCATTCCCCCCCCCACACACACACACACACACACACACACACACACACACACACAGAGGCACACAACCGATGTGTTTCATATAGAAAGCTCGGTGTAATGTATTCTTGCACCCACACATCGTTACCCGCAGTGTGTACCGTGTATCGATCCCCGAGAGTACACACGAAGACGACCGTGAGCGCCATCGGGCTCCTCTATTTCCTTCCACTTTCCTCTCTCTTTCTCTTTCTATCATTCGGTGGATACCGCGTCGTCTTCTCTTTCTTTCGATCACAAGTTTATCTCAAGAACGGAATAGCCGCTTCGTTCTTTGTGGCGTCCGAGAGATGAGAAAACGCACGCTGCATCGCACAGGGAAGCACTGCGCGGGCGACGTATATGTATGTATATATCAGTTAGGGCGAGTCCGAGAGAGAGAGAGAGAGTTGAGAGAGAGAGAGAGAGAGAGAGAGAGAGAGAGAGAGAGAGAGTGATCCCACCGGCAGTGGGCTCGCGTGACAGAAGCGCGACGGTGGTTCCACCCCCTTTCCCATCCACCCTCATCCACCATCCCACGGACGTGATTCGACGGACGCCGCGGGCATCGGCGGGGCGTCGCGACGACGAAATGGTTTACGAGGAACGGTTTACCTCTTACCTCGATATTTTTCCTCTCAGTGACAAATCCGTACGCTCGCGTACGTGAACGGAAATCCGCGACATACGACGTATACTCGACCGTGGCCCAAGCCCGACTGACGAGAATGACGAGCGTAGGCGACGCGACCGCCGGGGTGGGGCGGCCGTCGCGGCCAATCGCGTTCCCGCTTGCGCGCGATCCTGAGGAGGATTTACGGGAGTAAAGGCAGCCGCCAGGCCGGGCCGCTCACGCGTTACTCCACTGCACTCTCCACTCCGTTCTGTTCCGTTCTCGTTCGTTTCAGCTGCGGCGCTTTTCGAGACGAGAGACCGGGGAGACGGATGCACCATCCGTGCGGGCGCCGGGCGGCAGAGAGGGCACGAGGCGACTGAAACGCGGACCGAACGGATGACGCACTCGGGGGCGACTTCGACCGCTTCGACGAAACTCCGATCGGCGACGATTCATTCACGACTCCGGCGGAGTCGCTCGCGCAATTACTTTCAACACAATCACGCTCCTACCTATGTAGTTTAATTTTAATCTTGTAGTTTAATTTTAACCTTGGTTCAACTAGCTCCTCTTCGTTTTTCTAGTTCTAAGAATTGGAAAAAGATAAAGAGCAAGTTGGGCCATGATTGAAGTTAATCTACATTAGTACAGACAGGCATCAGGAAAAAATACTTTTATGCCCGTTTTGAACTAACGTAGATTAATTTTAATCTCGATTTAACTTAATGTTTTTTTTCTCTAATCCTAAAGATTAGAAAAAATAAAGAGTAAATTGAACTGAGACTCTAAAGCTAATCTTACACTGGTGGAACCAGGTATTAGTGGTGACAGCTATAAAAGTGATAACTGCAAATTTTTTACGTAGAATTAATGTGTGTATACTTAGTTAAATCAACTATTTTGTAATTTTTGCAATTATAAAGTAATTTATTCAATACTGTATATACACACATAATTAGTTTATTTAACTATGCATATTAATTCTACATGTAAATCTAGTATGTGTCACCTTTAAGTCTATTCTACAATGTGCTTTTTGTTTCCTGTTTCTTGCTTTTTGTTATTTTTTACATCTTGCCTTTTTGCTTCTTATTTGATTTTCTGTTTTATGTCGTCCGAGATAAAAATTAACAAACTTCGAAAGAAATAGGAAATACATAGCAAGAAATACAATTGTCGATAAAACGGTTGCAAAGGAGAAAAAAGCAAAAGGTAAAGAACAAGAAACGGGAAACAAAGAGCACATTGTAGAATAAGCTTTATAGTTGCTACACCATGTTATTCGCTTCAGCTCTGATCTCTAATCTTTCTTCCTATATATTCCCATGTACCAAATAAACGACGTTTGATGTTATCTATATGTTAATAAAATAATTCAAGATTAATAAGTTAAGGAGGTATTCTAGTGTGATTACTCGTTTTTAAGATAAATTTTGGGAATTAATTTTATAAAAATGGTTAAACCTATAGAGCTAATATTTTGCATTCACATTCATTCGATTTGACGAAAAATCGTTTTTATCAGTGATTGACGCCATCCTCGTCGTCTAAAATAAAAATTTTGTTTTATTTTATTCTTTACGATTTTCGTTACTATTCAGCCTGTAATAAATCATAGGAAGAAAAGTTGATAAAATGATAGCGCTTAAAAGAAAGTACTTCGATTTTTACTAAAAAAAATATTTACTTCCTGCGGAAAAATAGTAATTTTGAAGATATTAAAAAGTTGGAGAATCGAACGATAGCCTAATATGTACTATACCATATATAATATCTACAAAAGCGAAAGTCGATCGGCCCAGCAGTTTGCGAGAAAAATGTACGCCCAATTTAAAAAATGCCTTTTTGGAAAAAAGACACATTTAAAGTTTCTCATTTACAAGGTGCATAATGAGTAATTTCAGTATCCCTTTATAAGTCAGCTATACACATTTTCAAGACTCCAAACTACAAGAATATGAAAAAAAATGTTTCGGTTTTTTTTACCCGACATACTAGAATATCTCCTTAGAGCTTGGCCGCATTTACGATGGCTTCAATTAACTTATCAAGTAAATTAATTGTACTATTTTGTTAACATAAACGGAATTGTTAAATAAGAGTAGAGACATGTTATCAGAAATTTTATCTTACATGATTCTGTCAATTGAATTAATTACTGATTAAGTTAATCAATAATTATCAAATAATACTTTTATTATTTCATTAATATAAATAAAATTAATAATTTTTCATTTTGAATATATATAAAAATCTTTAAGCAATTCTGCCAATTAAATCAATCACTAATTAAGTTAATCAAAGTTTGGTCACTTTATAATTTTTATGCTAGATGTATCTTTCATATTCCCTTTTGATTCTTCTTCTTCTATCTTTTGTTTAAATTAAAAAATTTTAACTTTAATAAATTTTGATGTTCATAATTTTTTTAACGTCAGATTTGCAACTTTAAATATATATTGATGTTAAACTCCGGCTCTGAGAATTAAACAAACGCTAAACCTTTCGCGAATCGAAACGTACTCGCGGAAAAGTTTAAGTCAAAAAGATGTTTTGATGTAGAACGGGAAGAAAAACATCTCGCACTTTGTCTCATCGTATTTATTTTCCAATTATTCAAATTATTCACGATTTCTGCCATATCGTCGGTAAGATATCAGAATTGCAGCGCCGTTTCGGTTACTTAAGTCCCGTTTTATTTGGTCGATAAGTAAAGAAGTTCGCAGAAGAGAGTTACCGCTAATCCTAAAAAGATATTCAAAAAGACAAGGTATGCATATATGTATACATATATATGTATATATACGGTCCAACACAACGAATTGTAGAATATCACGATATCATTTCCCGCTTCTCTTTGTAAACGTGTAACAAAATGCAACGAACGACGAGAGCCGTAGATCGAAGAACGACAAAGTTGTATGTACTGTTGTAACGTGCTTAAAAGTGGAATGACACATTTCTCCCGTATATATATATACATATACATCCTCTATTTATCTCAATGAAAGAGTAAGTAATATTTAATAATGTGTATGTGTGTGTATATGTGTATACATCCTCAGTCGATTGATGGAACTTATAAAATCATAATCCGCGAATAGTACACATTTCGTCGTTTTGCACTCTATATCTCATCGTTACTAACTACCCGTGTCCACGATACGTGTGACTAGTAATAAATGTTAATTAATAAAATAACTTAAACATCTTTCACTCATATAATCTTGTTATGTATACATATATATATATATATTTATAAATTCTCGCTTTCACGCTCGCGCTTTTTTCACGTTCGTACTTTACTCAACATCCGATTGGAATGATTGTTAAAATTGGGAGATTGAAGTCAATTCAATCGCGAGATAAGAAACCAACTGTGGATTTGTCTTGTTCTCCGTTATGTAGAAAAGCCGTATCGCTCTCTAAAATTGATCATTCATTTTTTTCACATTAATAGAGCGCTGTGACCACACAGTCATTGGAAGAACTTGACTGTAGGCTGTGATATAAACTATAACTTTTACAAGTGTTTCCTAAACGAGATGCCTAAATCAGACGAGGATATTGTGAAATTAATGTTACACAATTCGGTGGCTCTCGCAAAAAACAGTCTCGATATCTAAAATAAAACGCTTGTTTGTGAATAATACGATTAATATGTTTAATAATGTGACGTGTGTGTATTAATTACTTAGATAAGGCCACTAGTGGATGATACAGATATAATATAAATATTACAGTTATAAGCATATAGATTCTCAAAGCAACGGTCGAGTAGTTACACAGTATGTCCAGAAACGATCAATCGTAGAGAAAACGAGGTTTGTATTTTTAATGCAGGATTTGTAACGTACAAATTTGTTTTTCGTTATTGTCATATACTTTCATTGTAAGATGACACGATGCGAACGACGTTTGTCGATCTGGAAATATCTTTTCCCTCCTCTGAACATAGGTAGAATTTAGTTGCCTATTGCATTCAAGATATCTAACTGTATAATATAAACACTAAAGGTTTCTTTTCTTTCTCTTAAGAATATACGCGATTCTTCATATACTGAGTATAAGATTTGTCTTTCTTTTAAAAAGCTATCTTAGCTGCTATCATATAATACAATTCACGCGAGCTGTATACAAACATGGTATTACAATTACAAAAATTACTAATGCCTCGTATTTCTATTCATCGTTCGAAAAATCGTTTGGGTGTAGATTTGTTACATCTCTCTCTCGAAATAACATGCGCGAAGAGAAGCATGCCGCTGAAATTCATCATCCACATCGGCGTCCATGAGAAAGCGATTTTATATATAAATTCGAGGTGAAGGAACGATCTTTTGTTGTCTCTCGCGTCCCCCGTTCAGTAATCGAAAAATAACGGATTTATATACTCTATCGGAATTGTCTTTCTTCTTTTTTTTAATCTCGCCACTCGATGTTGTTCAAACATCACGGCACACCAGGCACTGTACATTGAGCATTGCTCGAGCCAGACTTCTCAGTCTGGCTTATATCGTGTGTTACAACGTGGATTCGTGTATCACCGTTGTATTCGGATCACTGCTAGCAGTCTGAATTATTGCTGGCGGTATGTGTGGCGTCAATGTAATGGATGAAGTCTTGCGCACAGGTTTCGGGGAGGCCTGCAATTAATATTACGATGAAGATTAGTCGATTAATTTACTTTTATCATTCAATATTATTAATTAAAATCCAGTATTATAGCTTCTTTATCGCACACACAAATATATCTGATTTGAATATAGCATGTATTACCCATTCTCTTCTGCAAGGTGTTTCGTCATCTGAATAATGATCGATCTGACCAATATCGGTTTCTGTCACTGCGTTCCTCTTCTTTGGCTGCAGAGTCGCGTAGTTGCCGCAGCCTCTGGTGAAGTTAGTCATATTCTTCTCTTCGACGATTTTCTCCTGGCACAGTATCTCTTGGGATTTACTTTGCTTGTTGTTCGTCACGTCACTGGTACTTTTATTATTGAAATAAAACGGTGGCATTTTCGATACCCAGTGATCTAGACCAGAACCAGCCGAGCTCGTTGACGCCGCGGACGAATTTCCCGTCGAAT